ACATGGTTGCAAAACATTTTTTTGCTTAGAAGAAGTGATTTTACCACCTCTTCAAACTCTGTGAAAATGGGTTAAATTGGATTATAACCGCGCCCACTCCTCAAAATACGATGACCCACAAGTATTAAATTTCACAATCAAGATGGTAAAGAAAAGTTTTATAGGTTTGGGTGTTAAAATTGGTAAAGGGCGTGGCATGGCCCACCTTTCGGTGAAGTATATATGGTATAAATCTCAGGAACTTATTTGTTGTATAAAGTAATCCCAACATTCCTATCATACACTGTGAAAATGGGCGAAATCCGATGACAACCACGAATAATTTCCAAAAAACAAACTTTTAAATTCCGTCTAATTCTTTCACTTTAGAATATACAAATCAAAGGTCCTCGAGGTCTTTTATCTTACGTCTAAAAATTGTCCAAATCGCACAATAACTTGTGCCAAAAAAGGGTAAAAGCAAGTCAACACTTCCTGTAGCCCCCATATACCTAACATATATATTATCGAGCCTCCGGTTCACTTTATACCACATCTATCCGTCAATATGTAAAAATCTTAATGAAATTCAGAAAGAATATTTTTCTAATAATTCTAATAACAGTGTATCCTCTTTCCTTAAATGGCTGAAATCACGGCGAAAGAATGAAAGGAAAGTTCCCTAGTTTGGTAAAAAGCTTTTCCACCTCCTGAAGGTGTTCCTCTGCCTTCCGCTTCATAGTTGAAAAAAAGAAAAAAATATTTTGCCAAAATTCAAAAATTCATATCTTTGAAATGAAAAAAAACACTCCTCTGAATTTCTTTAGATATGTTAGAGGTATGACATAAAAAATTTTGAGGCCAAATTTTTCCGCGATGGTTACATTTTACGGTTTTCCAAAATTCAAAATTTTTTAATTTTGGTAATTTTCAAAACCATTTTTTTCCCATACCTCTAAGTGCCCTCTGAAAACTCACCAGCGTTCTTTGTTTGATATACAGTAGTTTCTGAAATATTAAATAAATAAACTCATAAAATCGGGAAAGCAGTGAAATTTTCAATTTCGTATAGCTCTTAGGAAAATCTTTTCAAAATTGTTTCCTTTGGCAGAACTTCGTTTTATGATAAGACCAAACTTTACACCAAAATTCATTCGAATCGGTGAGGGTCGCGACCAACTATTTGTCGATTTGACATGGAATGACCCAAGTATTTAGGTAACGGTGATCAGCAAACAACAGGTGATGATGCTCTCAATATTTAATGTATTATTAAGATAGCTTAATTAATGCATGTAAGAGAAATAGTAGTAGTGTAATTCTTAGGATAACAATGTAAAGTAGGATGTAGAATAACTTGTTGCAAAGATATAAATAAACTTAATATTAACCTATGAATGCATGAATTTAACAAATTTAATAAACATAAATATATAAATTATCAGCATGACAAGCTAAGTCGATTTAGTCCTGTCCGTCTGTATATATACGAATTAGATATCGATCTGAAATTTTCTCACCAAGAAACTGCTCATTTGTCGGAGCGGCCAATATCGGGCCACTATATAATATAGCGGTCATACAAACTGAACAATCGGAATAAAGTGCTTATATGGAAAACTTTTTCATTTGACGGTTATATCTTAAGAAATGATGTAATCTCCGAAAAATGTGTTTAAATCGTATTACTATAACATAAAGCTGTCATACAAACTGGCCGATCAAAAGTCTTGTAAGGAACTTTGTATTTATGAAGGGTGCTTTAGCTCTGGTTAAACTGAAGTTATCTTTTGCCTTTTGCTTTTTAAATTCGTATGTACATTTATTCTCATTGTCAATCTAAAAGTTAATTTGATAAAATTGAAAACTTTCAACACACATGTGCAGCACATGTAAAGCACAGAGGCAATAAAAACACTGCTACATTAAATTTTTATTTTTTTTTATTTAAACAAAAACAAAATAGTTAAGTCAAAATGAATAAATCTGCAACTAAATGTACATATGTAATTAAAACTTTGCCACAAGTAAAAAGCGATTAAACAGCAAATACTAAAAGCAAAACCTTATCGTCCATAATTAATTTCATTTAATTTTATGTAAAATAAGTGCACACACACACAAACACAAATACGCATATAAACAACAAGAAAAAACGTTAACTTCGGTTGCGCCGAAGCTATAATACCCTTCACAAATTCAAAGTTCCCTTACAAGAACTTGATTCCGAACGTTCAATTTGTATGGCAGCTATATGATATAATGATCTGATCTGACCAATTTCTGTGGAGAATAATTTGTTGCCTTAAGCAATAACTCGTGCCTAATTTTGTGAAGATACCTCGTCAAATAAAAAAATTTTCCATGCAAGCACTTTACTCCGATCGTTCAGTTAATATGGCAGCCATATGCTTTAGTCATCCGATCTATACAATTTCTTCGGAGATTAAATTAATGATTTAAATAACAATACATGCCAAATTTCGTGAAGATACCTCGTCAAATGAAAGAGTTTTCCATACAAACACTTGATTCCGATTGTTCAGTTTGTATGGCCATTCCGACAAATGAGCAGCTTCTTTGTTAGAAAAGGACAGGTGCAAAATTTCAGATCGATAGCATAAAAACTGAGAGACTAGTTTGTATATATACAGACAGACGGACAGACAGACAGACGGACATGGTTAAATCAACTCAGCTCATCATGCTGATCATTTATGTATATATTTTATAGGGTCTCCGACGTTTCCTTCTGGGTGTTACAAACTTCGTGGCAAACTTAATATACCCTGTTCAGGGTATAATAATAGTTGAGGTTCTAGTACTGTGGCGGGCGGCACAGGCTTGCAACAATTCAAGAGGGGTGTGGTGTGGGAAGAACCCAATGAACTTTGAAGCATAAGTATAACACATGCCAACAACATTAACTTAATTACACACACATTCATAAATGCGTATGCGTGTGTGTGCTAGCAACGGTGTTGCCATCTTTATCAACATCAATATCAACATGAACATTATCATCATAGCCATACTCAGCAGCTTCGCAATATTACAGTGGCAAATGCCATTAATTTTACAACACCCGGAGCGAACCACTGGAATACCGCCTTATCGCATTCGGCTTGGATACGAGCCTTTTCTCAGTATTCCTTCCTCCTTTTTGCCTGGCGAAAGCGAATGCAAGTGCGAGCGAACACATATGGGTCCAAGAAAATGTGCATAACTATAAATGCTTACCCGAAGCATTCGGTTACATAAGTACGGAGTTATAGTAAAAATAATTAGTTAAAGGGTAAAAGTTTCAAGCGCTCCAAGGCAAGCGATTGTAACCATACGGGCTAGTTAGTAGGGTTAATTGTTAGCTCTAAATATTAATATTCTACAGTTTGAATAATGCCTTTGATGCGAACTAAAATTGTAATTTTTTCTCTTCATATTTTAATGGTGTATTTATACGTATATGGTACATTTTAGACTGCTTGTTAGCATCATCTTGATAGTGAAAGGAACTCGCCTTATTGCCTCATTTCGGGATTAAGTATATACAATTTAAACTATAAGAATAACCGAAAAAAGTGATGTTGAAATATTCGCTGAGATAAGTAACGAGAATTTAACATGCGCTAAACCATTTTACTTTTAAGAAGACATAAACGGTCTTAAAGTCAATCTTTTGGTGCCAGGACACGGGAGAAGACGTTCTTTAAGTTTCATTGTTATATCTTACAAATTGATCGATATTTATTGTAAATAGTCGGTCATAGGCACTGTGGTTTACATATTCGTTAACTAAGGGCTTTATAATTTGATCCAATTTCGACTATTTTTTGATGTGAGATGGCATACCCTGAGAGCATTACTTGTGCAAATTTTTGCCACACATCTTCACTGGTGCTGGATTTTTGTAATGTAAAGTTAAAAAATCAGATGGAATTAAAAAATGGGTTATACGGTAAAAAGGCGTGGCTGTGGTCCGATTTCGCAAATTTTTACACTGTACTTGTAGGATAACTACATATATCAGAATAATGTTGTGGATCAAATCTGGTTGAAATTGGTAAAATAGTTCCTGAGATATAGGATTTCACCTAAATATGCGGTGCCACTCCTATTTTCCGTTTAAAAACTTTAAGCACTATTGTGACTGTGAAACTTAATGTTTTAATTCGTCTCGTAATTCAGATGAATTTGAGTGGTTATTTAAACTCAACAAGTATCCTTCTCAAACCTTTGTCTGTTTTTCAACGGCTGTAGAATCAGAAAAACAAAGCCTTCGTCTTTCCATACTTTCAGCGTATTATTATATCCATCGTTGTCAAACATTTACAATTAGGAGCAGTCAATGAATAGTGCTAAATGCGTAACCGAACTTTTGTTACTCTTGGTGGATGATTTTCGACAATAAAGGTATTCTATCGGTCTGAATTTAAGCTATGTATGTAATGAATTTGTAAGGCAGTGTTTTTTATGTAAAATATATTTACTCATTTCAACATTAGATTTTGGTTCAAATGACACATGAAACTGAAGCTGTATATAATTTTAAATTGCTTATCGTCAAGTTCCGAAAGTTATCGATTATTTTTATAATTAGCTGAATGCGTGTATGTGTATATACATATATAGACATATAAACCCTATTGTAGCATATTTTACTTAAATCCATACTTCAGAAAGAGTTAGTTTTAATTCGGCAACCGATCTGCTACCCCAACTCGCGGAAAAAATGTTTCGCCTTATTTTTAGTATTTATTATGTATACTTTTTAATTTTTCTAATCGTTGTTTCAGTGAGGAAAAAGGCACAGGTAAATTGTACGATTGCAATTGCAAATGTGTTATGCAATTAGAAGCCGTTAACGATGATGATGAGCAGTTACTTCGGAATCGACAAAAGTTATTAACTGTTTCTGTATCTCTTTCAAGTGTTAAATTTGTTAGAAGCACTTTGCATGTAGTGCATAGAGTATACCATAGATTTTTTAGGCGGTTATAAATATGTAGAACTGTTTATTTCAGAGTATTCAAGCCGTCTAAATGTATGAAAGCAGCAGCGAAATGCTCGAAGAGTGGTATTTACAAAATTCTATTCAATAATAATAATATCATCGAATTGGTGCTATTTTGTAAAGAGGACATCGATTTTGGGGTCTAAGTCACTCGTCAAAGTAACTTAGTGGATTTTTATAGAACTTGGCCATCGAACATCCCTCTACAAGCACCACACACCACTGCACAAGCAACATTGATACACTCCAACACACCACACACCAATACATACAACTTCACACAACTCACCGAGGGATACCAACACACAACACACACGATCCCACTACTCTGCCCAATCAACAAAATGGATCGACGACTGGACAGCCGGATCTTTTTCTGCTCAACCCCAGAAACCTACACCGTTTTATTATTTAATTGATGACTTCAAAATGACAGTTAATTGCGTAAAATGATTGTATTTAATTCGTCATTATATTTTACATTTTATTCGGGAGCAAGTATGTAAGGGAAAGTGGTGAGTGTTTTTGTGCAAATTAGTACCAAGCTAGTGAGGTAAGACTTAATGTCACCAAATACTCAGAGTTTTTTATTGCTGACGCATCAATGCTGCTGATTTCTTAAAATATCGTTACGGAAGGAAATGTTCAACGAATGTTGGTGATAATAATGATTCTAAAAGTAATTGTGCATCTGCATTTAGAGGTGCTTGGCGGTTTGGATATTGTTCTGATAGGTAATTTTGCTTATTAGCGTTTGTGATGGTCCACATTTTACTTTTCAGTCACCTTAATGGAGTTCTCGGAAATGATGTCGAAACGGTATGGGCTCCCCTAGATAACAAAGAATCGCTTAACGAAATGATGATACGACCAAACCATTATGGCATTAGACGGCTGATGTTCAGCAAAATAAATTGATGGGCATAAGAAAATATGCCATTTTAACTCTTTATAATATTATATAAACGCTTATGCTTCTGTTAAATATTAACATTCTTATTTGTTAAATCAGGATTAAATAATTTGCAAGTATACTTAAAACAACGGTTATGTGGACAAAACTGTAATTCTCAATAGAAAGTACCGATATTCACAATTTTTTTACCAAAAAGTAATTGAAGGAGTGAGTGGATACCGTTATATTAGGGTAAAGGTTTAGACAAATTTCCTTCATGTTCATTGTACCTGTCTGAATTTCAATAATTCAAGTAATAATACAATATATCTCACATATTGACCGATATCTTTTGGTAAAAATTTTGCCATAATAACTGGGGTTCACATATAATCCGACTTCGACAATTTTGGGCGTAAGATGAAATACCTTGAAATCTGTACACAGTTTTATTCAAATCACTTCATTGATTTTGATTTATATACTGTAAAAAAAAGGGGTAAAAGAATATTAAAATAGTGGTAGTCCGATTTCGCCCATTTTTACAATGTAACATAAGAGTGTACAAAATTTGTTTGGAATGTGTCGAGTAGTACCTGAGAAATGAGGTGGGCGTTTCTACGCCCATTGTCGAACTTTTACACCGATTCCTTTTTAGCATTTAATCACCTTTAGACAGTCATCGCAATTTTAGTTTTATGGGGAGTGAGCCGGGTTATCATCCGATTTCAGCGGTTTTTACACCAACTAAGGAAGAGCTAGTGGGTATTATTCTCAGCAAGTTTAGTTGATATAGCTTTAGTTGTTTATGAGATATGTACATTAAATTTATTAAGGGCCAGGGTCACGCCCACGTTTTATTAACCCAGAAGACCGGAAAGTCACTTACTTTCCCTTACTACCAGAATAAGTTGTCAAAGTTATGTCGTTTTTAAGGTTTCTAAATTGATTTAACCCTTTAAAGCTACAGGGGTTAGGTTAGGGCTTAACAAGTAATAATTAAAAAACACGGATTAGAAAAAAGAAAAAAAGTCGAACTAGTGAAGACTTTCACATAATTCCTTATGATATATATTTTGTGTTATCCCTAAAGAAGTAAAGGCGAACTCAGCACCTTCCTTTATCAGAGAGATTTTATCCAGTGCAAGAATGACCTCCCTTTAATTTATTAGAACTTTACATATACTTTACAGATGTCTATACAAAAGAGTAAAACATACTTTTTCCGCTTCTATATCGAAATTGTGTTCTTTAAAAACTTCTCTTACTTCGTCATCATTTATATTGTATATATATTTTATATGGTCTCCGACGATTCCTTCTGGGTGTTATATACTTCGCGGCATATGTTACATTTTACATTAATATTATCGTATAAAATATACGGTATTTGCTTTAAATTGTTAGTGTGGTTTTTCAGAGTTTAATAAAAAATGCGTTTTATGTTTATTTTCCAACTATATCACCACCAGCTGCACATTGAGTTTTTGGCTGTTTAATTGAAAGGAATGCTAAAATTGTTGATTAGTTTAAAAAGTAAGTTTACGTGAAGTGTTACAAAAACAAAGAAAACCGAACATGCAACGAGGAAAATACTTATCTCTCTACGCATACCACAAAATAGGTATATCTCTTTTTTTCTTCTTTTGAAAAGTCCTAAAATTTAACTAACAAAAAAAACTTTTCACCACGCAAATTAAGGCGGAATAAAATTTCAATGTGCCTGTGTCAACTATTTACCGTTCAATTAAGAGGTGTTAAATAGTATTTTAATTAGTTAGCTGTAGTGGTGATATAATTGTGAAAAAATCATAAAATGCATTTTTCTAGGAAAATCTAAAAAAATCACACTAACAATTTAAAGCAAATACCGTTATTCGTTGCTAATTGTATTGCCACTTATTTTCGCAGAACATTATCTTTCCCTTCAGTCAGTTGTCTGAACACAATTGCAAAATTTCGACTGGTGATATAGTTGTGACAGGGTGTGTAGTATAGTTCGCATTGCAAGCAAACAAATTTCATCGCGACTGAATGCTTGCAAAAGAAATTATCTGAGGCATTAAGAGGCCGTTACCAAAAAACATTGTATATTTGGAAGTAATAGCTCTATAACTTAGGTGCTAACTATCACTAGCTTAAAAAGTTTAGGCTTGAAAAGTGTTTCTTAACCCAAAAAAATTGCAAAAACTAGCAGAATAATTCTATTAAGTAATTTTCAAGTGTTGATATGAAGGGATTGTAAAAAACAATTTTCGATATTTTCTTCCTACTTTCTGCTAGTTTTCCACTTTACTTCTTTGTTGTTTGGCTCTTTGTGAGAGTAACTTGCAGTCTTCTTCTTCCTAATAGCTAGTAGCTACTAGCAGTTAAGATACAAAGCTAATGCCTGTTATAAGTCAACAAGCAAATTAATTTAAAATCGTTGTAAAAATTCTTTTTTAACTGAAAAAATATATAATTATACACATTTATTTGTAGTTCAGTATTTGCTAAGCGTATATTCAAGCCAAAATAGAGCGAAATGTACTCACAATAAAAATGTAGTATATAGTATGTGTGTAAGCTTGAAGTCAATATAATTGACAGAAAATTTGTGTAACTGTACAACATTTGGTAAAGTAATACAAATTAAATTAAACATTTAATACAATAGCTAACAGAACCGCTTTTTTATAGCTCGACAATCTGAGTTTATTGGCAAATAAATGTGCGCACATGTGCATAAATTTATAACTGTACTGTATTGGTTCGGTTTTGCCAATCAAACATGAAATGCATAATGGAATTGTTTGCTCACATTTGTTTGATCATAATTTTTTTTTATTTATTTATTAAATCATTGTTGTTAGGTTTAATTTTTTTCGATTTTTCACATTTCGATGGCGACCGTAAAAAATATTTTGTTGGGATAAATTAAATGTGCTGACTTCGGGACATTTGTATTCGCATATTAGGACTGAAATAACATGGGTTTTTGAAATGAGTAATAAAAATCTGAAGCTGCTGGTTGAGCTATGCATGTTTTTCTGGAAATACTTAAAAAATAAAGTTCCTGTACTAAAATTGATTTTATTCGAAACAAAGTAGCTCATAAATAATTGAAATATGTTTTAAAAATTTTGGAAAATATTATATATAAAGCTACAAACCACTAAGAAAGAACAAAATAACAGTTGAAACTATTTTTGTTCTATAATTATGAGATTTATGTCTTCCTAGAAAGTTATTCCAAATCGTATCTTGTAAAGTCTACCCAATTTGGCGTCATATTGCTGCCGAGCTGACACAGAATCTAAGTTCTCTTATACCATAGTTTCAGCACGCGTCAAAGATGGGATACCTGCAAAGTAAAAATACTCTATATATGCTTATGGTCGTTTATGGTTCTAATAACTGCCCTCAGGTGGGATTTTGATATCGTTAATTCTGTTCCGGTAGTTTTGATGTCAAAAATTCACAATTTTGATTGCCCAGGAGCTAAACATTGTCCAAATCAGTTAAATAAGGTTAGATACATATATAAAACGTGCCACATGAGTTAACACAAGAAAATCTCATAGACCAAATTTCCAACGATCCAATTCTGAAATGGATGGTTATTGGTGATGAAAGGTGAATCACTTACGACAACGCTGAGCGAAACAGTCGTGGTCGAAACGCGTTGATCAGGAAGATCTTAATATGCGTTTGGAGTGATTGGCAAGGAATCATCTACTATGAAGACGCTACGACCAAACTGTTAAATTGAACCTGCTCTGTCAACAAGCAAAGAAGGAAGCAATTGCATAGAAGCGGTTATGGAATTGTATTCTATCAGAACAACGTTTGGCCACACACAAGAGGAACTTACAAAAATAAACTGACCCAGTTTTTGCCAATAGAAACGAGGGTTTCTATGAGAGTGGCATTAGGAAATTATCAATAACCGCTAATATTGAATATTATTCTTAAACATTTCAGCTTTTTAGTCGAAAGTATACTTTGAAAAGAATATGAAGCCATAATTAGTGGCGATATTCTAAGCTTTGTCTGAGGGGTTTGTTCACTGAGCAGACCTTTGATTTTAAGATGAATAGAAGGTAGTCCATCGCTCAAACAAATCGCCTAAAGTTAATGAAGCGATGGTTACATGACTTGTATAACTTCTTGCGCCATCCATCAGAAATTATATATCACTTAGATGGTTGACAAAGATGTGTGGAACCAAAATGACGCGAATCATTTCTAGTGTTCACCGTTCGGTAACGTTGTACCATGTTTACTTTTAGAAACTTATTGATCAGTAATAACTTCCATAGGCAAGCAACATCACATGTGCTGTTTATATGATTAATAATTTAGTCTATCTAAGAAATTCTATATTCAATAAAATATCACCCCGTTCATTGTTTAGTAAATTGTTCTTGTGTTTCATATTCCTAAATTAAAGCGTGAATTTCTTTAAGTAAAACGATGCAAAATATCGAATATTGTAATATTCATTAATTCGCAGAAAGTTCATATTTCCTTATGGTCACCCACTTTTTCTACTCAGATATTTATTCGTTTACATCTTATATGTACTTATACCTACATATATATATGTATATGCTGCTCAGTCATGTATATATTATTTCTGGTAATATTGTTAAATACATAAATCTACATGTCGAACATTTATGAAAAATTAATGCGAAACACTGAAAGAGGCTACAACATTGTAAGCCTCACACGGATGGTGTATGTATTATATAATACAATATATTATACATATACCTATATCATATGTAGACACGAGTAAATACGCTTGGATAAGGGTTGTTCAAAATCGATATTTTCCACAATATGTAAAATTAGTTGATGAAAACTAATTGAAAACTGTTTTGTTTAGATTCAATTTATTCCTATGGTGTAGACTACTACGCCCTTTGTAGAAGTGTTAAGGTAAGCTTCACATTTTAAGCTTAAGTCAGAATTATAAACTCCATACTATTAGATATAATCTTTTGAGATGCTTCTTGGCTATTAAAGCTCAAGGCTG